CCTACCTACCTACCTACCTACCTATCGAGATGGGGTTTTGCCATGTTGACCAGACTGGTCTTGTATTCCTGGCCTCATGCGATCCACCCACCTTGGCTTTCCAAAGTGTTAGGATTATAGGCATGAGCCACCACGCCCAGCTGTTCTTTGTTCTTTGGCAAAGAACTTCACTTTGAATGTGATGCTGTTCAGTTATCAAAAACTTGGTTGCAGAGGCACTGGATTCACATGGAGGAAGAAGGAGAGGATCTTCCTATGTTTACTTCCAACTTCTCATTGAAAGAGCCAGAAGATACAGAATATGAAGCAAATAAATAAACAATAGCAATCTGAGGTGAGAATAAAAGTAATCCAGTGTAACATAATCCTGATGGGATTTCCACACATTTTAATGCTGATAAAAACAACGTTAAGAAATCCGTTCTTTGACCACATGGCCTAGCCTCTAAATCTGGAGGGGCCTTTACTCCAGAGTAGATGGCCCCACATGGGGTGGAGATGTCACGTGCGCAGCCTGCCCTGCACGCTGGTGGCCTTTCCCAACTGCTTGGACCCTGCCAGAGTCATTCCCCAGCTACCTATTTATTTGTATCCAGAGGCTGCGGTCCCAGGCCCCAGTGTGGGTGGGGAGGAGGCCCCTTGCACTGCCAGGTGAACGCTCCCCACGGAGGGTCTCATAAACCAGGTGTGGGAGCAGTGTGCTTGGGACCTGAAAGACTCTCATTTACGTGGCTCACACCAACAGCTTCAGGCTACATTGGAGTCTCCAATACTATAGGAGAACCAGCAGGTGAAGGGAGGGCCCCGCTCCCTCCAGCAGCCCCTGCTGGGTGGGATGCCAGCTGGGTGCCTGAGAGTGGGAAGAGGAGGATGTGAAAATCCACTGCAGGGTCAGACTCGGCAGAGCAGCCTGGTTATTTTCAGTGGACTGTGTGTTGGGCAGAGGACAGTTTACCCACTCTGTCTTTGGCAAACTGTAGGGATAGGCTGATTTCTGTTTCTTTGATGTATAATCAGAGAGAGAAAAATATATCATGGGGCTTATTTAAGAAGACTGTAATGCATGGGGGAGTTAGCAAGGGCCAGACTATGGAGAGAAAGAGCTTGCCTTTGACAATGATTTTTCTACAGAAAATAAAAGAAAGATATAAAACATGATAAGTGCTCCCAATAAGACACAAAAAGTATGAAAAACAGGGTGCAGGAGGAGATACAGGGACAAGGAATCCCATATTCTTTAAACCTAAGACAACCAGGTCTCCTTCCCTGTCAGGGCTGAGCCATTTCGCACCCCATGCCTTTGTACAGGGCATCCCTTCTGCCAGTCTTGCCTGTCTTCAAGGCATGGCCAGGGCCTGCTCATGACGCCCACCTCAGCCCATGCCCCCCCTCCCACAGCCAGCACAGCTGCTGCAGGTGCCTAGTCACGGCTTTCTCTGTACACCAGCAAAGCAGGCTTCATGCTCCGATGCTGGAGACTTTACATAGTATTATAATTTATAACGGAGTAACTGTGAGTTCTCAGCAACAGGGCTTATATTTCATCCACCTCTATAAGTACACCCATCACAGTTTCTGATACACAATAAATAGAGCCCCAGAAAGCAAGAGGAAAAGACAATCTCTTCTTAAACAAGGACCTCAACAGTTGCCCATCAGACAAAGATGAGAGGAAACAAGACAATGAGAAAAAGAACTGAGGCATCGTGAGACCCTACAAGGCTCAGAAAAGTAAAGCACCAATTACACCAAAGGAGCATGTGACAGCTTGTTCCTCCTTTTCAAAGAATGGCAGATTTAGTGCATTGTCACAAACCAACTCAGCGACTTTTGGGACGTGATATAATGACACAGACAGCAACTCTTCACAAGAGACGAACGCAGCGGCAGCAATCCTCAACCTAAAAGTTTATTAACAAGTTGCTTTAGGGAAACTTCACAGCATTTCCTGTTAGAAACTGTGTGTTCAAGTCCCCAGACCAGACTGCAAAGGCTTATGTAACCTGGAAGGTTGCTAGATTATACCCAAACTGAGCTGGGTTGCAAAAAGTATAAGTGAAATGTGGTTCTGCTCCATCACCATATAGCCAAATGATCACTTAACCAGGATAGTTTCTTCCTCTCTCCACACATGTGCCGGGCATCAGCTCGAATAATGCATGAGAAGCAGCTTTGAGAAGTGTGCTCTGCTGTTAAACAATGAGGGCCCCTCCTAGTGTGGCTCCTATGAAACCTAATTACCTGTGAAAATACAGTCTTGGGGAACAGTGTGTACTGCTTTCTGCCCTGAGACTCCAGGGACTCATTTCCTCCATGACAGCAGAAGCCCAGGATTCCTCTTTGTCCCTGGAGCCATAGGGGTTTGCGATGGAGCTCTCACATACTTGGGGAATAAAAGTTGTCTGCAGGATGTGCATTCAAGTGTTAACCCAAGTGTCTACTGATTTGTGTGAGAAAATCATTAAGGAGATAAAAACCAGGTTGACAGCAATATGTCAAAATATTTCAAGATGCCAGAGTTTGCGGCGGCAGCTCACATGGAGATGAGGTCAGGGTGGGAGCGATCAGCCACCTGCTGAACCTCATGTCAACAGTGTGATGGAAGCATCTCATTTCCTCTTCTGAGATACAAGCCCTTGTTTCTGGTGATGGCAGCCCTTGGGGAGCATATGATTGTTGACAATTTATCCTGCCCCAAGGGGCTGTTCTTCGTACTTTAGAGGCTGATTTCTGGGCAGTCGGCCTCTTGCTTAATTTTAAGGATACCTTGCACAACACCGTGATGCTGTTTGTCACACTTTGCACTTGTCTGAGCAGCAGGTGAACATCTGGAGTCTCCAGCAGGTTGAGTCCAGAGAAGCCAAATGCTCTAGGAAGCTTTCTTTAAATAAAAAAAAGTGCTTCAGGTAGGAGTTTGTCTGAATTCCAGGGCTGGCCAACACACCCACGGTATCATTCCAGAGCGGAAGAAGAGGAACTCCTCTTCCCTCTGAGCCTTGAGCCAACAGGCCGGTCCCATCACTGGGCACAGCCCAGCCCTGCTGAGGCGTCCATGTGTCTGCCTCATTCAGTGACCTGCCCTGCGGTGGCAGAGGCCAGACCTGCAGTGGAAGGCTCTTCCCTAATTGGCTTTATTCCACTTCCCACCTCCTTCCTTCTCTGTGCGTCGTGTGCTCAATGCCTTCCTGTGCTGTCTCCCCAGCTTCTGGCTCACTTTTTCTTTTCTGTCTTGATTTAGCTAAGCTAAATGATTCAGTTGTCCCTAAGCTAAATGATTCCGTTGTCCCTAAGCTAGCATCAGTGATTGGCTAACAGGTACCAGGACCTGTCTGGCTTTAGGGGGTGCCCTCTTCTGAGGACTGCCCAAACAAATAGGCCTAGAAGAGAGGTTCTGGCACTCTGAGGATACCTCCCTAGATTCTCACACTTAACTTGCTGTCCCAGACAGAAATCATGTTCCAATCTGCATGGACACTGAGGAAAAAACGGCAAAGCTGTCAAAAGTGCGTGTGGCTCTCCCACTCTTCCCACTGTGCCTCCTGCTACAAGTTTCCTGATGGTAAACCCAGCCCTGTGTCCAGTCGTGCCGAGGATGAAGGCAGCCAGGCTTTGGGCCTCAGACATGCTCATCTTACTGCTTACTACCAAGGCCTCAATCAGCTCATCTTTAGGATGCTGCAGAACAGATTTGCAAAGCAGCAAAGTGGAATATTGTTTGGAGTCAAAGTCCTTTCTGAATCATTCATATTTCATATCAAATACTTTCTCTATTTTTCTTTTTGAGACACAGTTTTGCTCTTGTTGCCCGGGCTGGAGTGGAGTGGTGCTATCTTGGCTCACCATAACCTCCGCCTCCCGGGTTCAAGCGATTCTTCTGCCTTAACTTCTTGAGTAGCTGGGACTACAGGCGCTTGCTACCATGCCCTGCTAATTTTGTATTTTTAGTAGAGATAGGGTTTCACCATGTTGGTCAGGCTGGTCTTGAACTCCTGACCTCAAGTGAGCCACCTGCCTGGGCCTCCCAAAGTGCTGGGATTACCAGGCATGAGCCACCGCACCTGGCCTATTTTTTTTTTAATGTAAAAAGAAAAAATAAAAGAGTCTTTTTTATTTCCACTAGCATGACAAAGTCCCCCACTGGTTTCTGTCCAGCCTTCCCAGTTGGTCATTTTAAATTCATGTGAAAAGGAAAAGGAATGTCATTTCTCAGTGCATTTCAGCCTAATCGGATATACTAAGAACTCAGTGAGAAGCACTCCGAAGATGAAAACTGGATTGTAACTTAGGAAAGATGGCATCTATTACCATAGGCCTGAGCAGAACCACACAGCAGGGAACAAAAGATGTGACTGAAATCCTGGATCTGCAATGAGCTGTGTGACCTGAGATAGATTACTTAGGCTCTTTTGTCACTGTCCTCATTTATAGACAGAGAAGGGTGAGAGATTCTAGTCTTTCCAGGCCTACCATGTTATAAGTCTATGACTAAAATCAACCTGAGGCAATAAATCCTACTCCATTAATTTATTTATGAGCCTGAAAGAAATAAAAACCTAAGAAAATATAAATATTTAAAACCAAACAATTAAAAAATGTGATCCAAAGAAGGCCTTCTTAGTTGTTATTGCACGTCTCTACTGGAAACATTTGGCCATCTAAGGAAAACGCTGAAGCTTGGCTTTTCCCTAACAAACAAGTGAAGCATCAGCTTTAATAAGGCTGACTTTGGATCTCATTCCTCTTGACTATTTTGAGGTGCCTCTCCGTTTATTCATAATCAGCCTATCAGTATATCTCCATATATGTGTATACACACACACACAAGCAAAATAAGAAAGTGAAGATCAGTATATCTCCCTATATGTGTATACACACACACACAAGCAAAATAAGAAAGTGAAGATCAGTTTATCTCCCTATATGTGTATACACACACACACAAGCAAAATGAGAAAGTCCAGAGTTAGGTCTAACCAAAGAGAGGGGGAAATGAAACTTACAGGAGCTGCCGAGTTTTTGACCGTGACACTGGGGGTGGTTGCTCGCAGGGCCCCGCTCACTCCATGGTAGTATTTGAAGCAGATCTTAGTTTCAGCTGAAAGACAAACACAAAACGAGACTGAGAAGCAGGGTATAACCCAGGGAGAGGCAGCTATGGCAACAGAGGACATCTCTAGGAAGTGCAACCTAATTCCCATATGAGCAAGCCAGGCCACCCTCGACAACGATGCTCCTGGTGTGGCCTCAAGGACAGGTCTGACTTCTTCCTAAAACTGTGACACGAAAAATTGTTTTGGCCTTAAGATTTTTGTATCCAAGTTAAATCCATTATTTAGACTTCTTGGTATCCATCCTATCCCATTAGAGGTCATTGCTTTTAAACCCTTAGTTCTAAGATGTGATGTGGGTGGATGCCTACCCCATCTGTTTCTTCTGTAATGTACTGCTATTTAATTCATTGTGATTAATATCTTGGTCATCTGCAGGCAGTCTTTGAAAAGTTATTAAAGTACATGGGAAGGAGGCATATTTTCTAAACTCCTATACTCATCAATGGTAATCTCTTTGCATCACAATTTGTTTTCCTTCAAAGTTCCATAGACGTAGTTGGTAGTGGTGGCACACATCTGTAGTTCCCAGCTACTTGGGTGGCTGAGGTAGGAGGACCACTTGAGCCCAGGAGTTTAAGGCTACAGAGAGCTATAATCATACCAATGTACTCCAGACTAGGCAATAGGGAGAGACTCCATTAAAAAAAAAAAAGTTCTATAGATGTTAAGCAGAATACAAAGGGTGTAGGGGGATCAGACTGGGTGTGAATTTCAGCTCCGTTACTTACAATCTGTGAGACAATGAATACGTCCCTGTACCCCATGATAAAATAGGACTTCGTAAGATGTTGGTTAAGCAAATAAAAGTTCTTATGTTCGATTAAGTGCTCAGCAAATGTTAGTGACTATGATGGTGTGATGACTGACTGACGATAACGTGAACCCATTTCCTTCCGGTATTTACTTCTGCAGAAGGAAGAGGGCAAGATCTGCAGCCAACATGAGTTCAGTTCATTTGAAGGTGACTTGCCTTCCACAGTTCACTGTTTATAGGATTTATTTCCTTAAAATTTAAAAAATTTACCAGGCTATGTCTTGGTCCCTTATATTTTGTTTGAAGCAATATGAGAAATCTCCAATTTGAGATTTTTTTCTCTCAAATATGAAAATTTGCCTTCAATTATCATATTAAAATAATGTCTACAATTTTCTTAGCATACATTGAAAATTTGCTTAGAATGGAAAATATGAAAAATGAAGATACGTATAAATAAAATAACAATCTTCTGAGGTTTTCTGCATACTTGAGAGTATACACTATAGAAAATGTATTTTTGTTTTTTTTTAATTGACATTATGAATTAAGCATGGCCAACTATTATTTAAAGCTTCGCAAATAACATTACTTATATAGAACAACTGAATAGATTTACACATTGCAAATATTTCCTGAATTTGGAAATTCAGACTTTTCTCTGAAAATTAATGACTTTTTACAAATTATTTTTTAAGTTCAAATTTTCTCCCTAGGACAATGGAGCAAAAATCGCTAGACACCGACCTGACATCCATTCTGTCTTTCCTTCTTAATAACAGAATCTCAATTTCATTTGAGTGATAATGTCTGCCTAAAGTACCACATCTTGAGGCCTCCCTGGCAGATAACACCTATGCAGTTTACCATTGTTATTTTAGGGTCATTGCCATATGTAGCTAAACCTAAACCTAACTGATATGGAAAGGTTTCCTCAACCCAGAAGATATGAACATTGCAGTAGTCTTCCTTAGGTTAAAAGATAGGGGTGCGGTGGCTCACGCTTGTAATCCCAACACTTTGGGAGGCCGAGGTCAGCAGTTCAAGACCAGCCTGGCCAACATGTTGAAACCTCATCTCTACTAAAAATAAAAAAAGTAGCTGGGCATGGTGGTACACTCCTGTAATCCCAGCTGCTCAGGAGGTTGAAGCAGGAGAATCGCTGGAACCTGGGAGGTGGAGGTTACAGTGAGTTGATATCACGCCATTGCACACCAGCCTGGGCAGCAGAGCGACACACAGTCTCAAAAACAAACAAACAAAAAGACATGAATATTTTAGGGATTCCCCGCTTCTTGTGGCCAAATTGCTTTCCAAATAACACTTTACACCTCTACCAGGAAATGTGACTCTGACCATCTCATAGAACCCTTGTTAGTATTGAGCATCGTCACTTAAAAATAGGCTTAAAATAGAACCCCATTATTATGTTTATTTCATTTATTAGTAGAATTAAACTTTTTCATCAAATTTTAATTAGCTATTTAAATCTTTTTTTGAAGCCACTGAATTGCAGTTGTTCAGATTTTCCGCTGCCTGGGTGATGCCTGGGTGCTTACCAGTCCCTCTATTAGCGGACGTATTCTTAGATATGCCTGTACTTTCAGTTTCCTTCCTGAGTCACTTTCTCTACAGTTCTTTCACATGTCTGTTGATTGTCTTTTCAAGCTCTTGGTGGACAGTCTTACAACCCAGTTCTGTATTTATTCTCCAAGACACCTCAAAGTTGTCCCCATGTTAGGTGTATACACCCAGATCCAATACTATGTTGGCTTGAAAGGCAAGTTTCCTATAAGTCAGGGATCAGGGAAGGACCTTGAATAAAGCAGTGAGCCCATCTATCTAGTTAATCACAATGAGTTAGTGTTGCCTAGTGCGAGTTACTCTGCCTGTAGGTGCCAGTGGGATCAGTATGGAGGGACCAAATGGCCTCACCTTCAGCTTAGTTGGTTGGAAGGGACTTTTAGGTGCCAGGAACCCCGAATGGTCACTACTAGATTTTCATTTAAAGAAAAAATTATTTCAATGCCTTTGAGCAAAAAGCTCAGGGAAATGACATATAATCTTGCATTGAACCCTATTGCTAGATGAGCAGACCAGTGCATATTTTGAACCAAGAATTCATGGAAACTTTCAAACTCTGTACTCTTCTTTGTTTCTTCCATTTTTAATTTGTTATTGATACATAATAGATGTACATATTTTTAGGATACATGTGATGATTGAATACATTCATATAATTTGTAAAGATGAACTCAGTATAATTGCAACATACATCATCTTAACTATTTGTCTTTTTTTGTGCTAGAGACATTTGAATTATTCTCTTCTAGCCATTTTGAAACATATGATAGAGTGTTACAAATTATACTAACTCTATGGATCTATCAAACACTGGGTCTTATTTCTTCTATCAAACTGAAGGTTTGTACCCATTAATCAATCTCTACTCATCCATTTCTTCCTTCTACCTTTCTTGGTCTCTTGTAACCATCAACCTACTCTGTATTTCCATGAGATCTGCTTTTTAAGCTCTCTCATACAAGTGAGAACATGCAATATTTATCTTTCTGTGCTTGGCTTATTTCACTTAACATAATGACCTCTAGCTCCATCTATATTACTGCAAATGACAGAATTTCATTCCTTTTTATGGCTGAATAATATTACATACCACATTTTCTTTATCCACTCATCTATTAATGGGCACTTAGGTTGATTCCCTGTTTTGGCTGTTGTGAACAGTACTGCAATGAACATGTGAGTGCAGACATCTCTTTGATATATTCATTTCCTTTCTTTGGGCTATATATCCTGTAATAGAATTGCTGGGTCATATGGTAGTTCTGTTTTTAGTTTTTTGACAAATCTGTTAGTTTTTCATAGTGGCTGTACTAATTTACATTCCCATCAGCAGTGTGTGAGGGCTCCCCTTTCTCTGTGTTCTTGCCAGCATTTGTTACTCCCTCTCTTGTTTTAATTGGGGTGAGATGATAACTCACTGTACTTTTGATTTGCATTTCCATGATGATTACTGATGTTGAGCATTTTTTCCATACACATGTTGGCCATTTGTCTTTCTTTTTTAAGAAATGTCTACTCACATCTTTTGCCCACGTAAAAATCAGATTTTTTTCGCTCTTGAGTTGTTTAAGCTTCTTGCATATTTTGGTTATTAATTCCTTATCAGACGGATAGTTTGCAGATACTTTCTCCCATTCATCGGCTTGTCTCTTCACTTTGTTGATTGTTTCCTTTCAGCTTAATATAATCCTAGCTGTCAACTGTTGCTTTAGTTGCCACACAAAGAAATCAGGTCTTACATGAAGAAACCTTTGCCCAGACCAATGTTCTGGAGCGTTTCCCGAATGTTTTCTTTTAGTAGTTTCAGTTTTAGGTCTTAAATTTCAGCCTTTAATCCATTTTGATTTCATTTCTGTGTATGATGAGCAAAAGGGGTCTAGTTTCACTGCTCTGCATCTGGACTTTCAGTTTTCTCAGCATCATTTATTGAAGAGACGGTTCTTTCCCCATTGTACGCTCTTGGCACCTTTGTTGAAAATGGGTTGGCTATAAATACCTGGATTTATATCTGGGTCCTCTATTATTGTATGTTCCATTGGTCTGTGAGTCTGTTTTTTGCCATTACCATGCTGATTTGGTTACTTCACCTTTGTAGCATATTTTGAAGTCAGGTAAGATGATACCTCCAGCTTTGCTCCTCTTTGTTCAGGACTGCTTTGGCTGTTCAGGATCATTTGCGTCTTTTGTGGTTCCATATATATTTTAGGATTAGTTTTTCTATTTCTGTGAAGAATGTCATTGATATTTTGGCAGGGAGTGCGCTGAACCTGTAAATTGCTTTTGGTAGAACTGTCATTTCAGTCATAATAGTTCTTCCAACAAATCAGCTTAGAAAACCTTTCTATTTTTAAATGTTTCCTTCAATGTCTTTCATCAGTATTTTCCAGGTTTCCTTGTTTCCTTTGCTGGTTAAATTGAGGTCCAAGCATCTCACATTCTTTGTAGCTATTGTAAATGGGATGGCCTTCTTAATTTCTTTTTCAGATTGTTTGCTTTTGGCATATATGCATGACATTCATATGTTGATTTTTGTATCCTGCACCTTTGCTAAATGTATCAGTTCTAACAATTTTTTGGTGGAATCTTTATTTATTTTCTTAAATATAAGATGATGTCATCTTTGAACAAGTCTACCTTACCTTCTTC